GAGTAAACCCCCTAAACCCATTCACTAAAGGGTTAAATTAAATGTTTAAAAAAAAAAAAAGAGGCCAGACTTTTATAAAAAATCCTTTAATTGAAATAAAAACAACACAACAAAGGCTTTTTGACAAGTCCTGTAATAAAAAAAAAACCAAAAAGGTCAATCACGATGTCCAGCGTTGTCCACAACGATGACTTGGTGGAATAAAAAAATAAAAAATAATTAAAAGAAAAACGAAGCCTGCCGACCCGACCGCAGGCGACCAACTCCCGCAGAAGAATGAAGAATCTGACAGATGCCGACAAAACATAAACAATTGGGCAGAGCTAGCGGTGACATCACCACTAGCTCCGCCAAGCTGTTTACACTTGGACGTCACCTGCCATAGTCTTCCAACAGGTCCTGGACAAATTAAAACAACTGGGCGGAGTCAGCCATGATGTCACGACCGCCTCCGTGACATCTCAGGCTGTTGTAAGGGCTATTATGAATAGCCTGGGCAGCAGCCCTCTGGTTGGGCTCCGGTGGCCGAAGAGAGCTGAAGGGTCTGCCGAAACTACGGCTGCATCCTTCGGCTCATTAGTGAATAACCCCCTAAATTACTGACAGGAAAGGCCCTCCCTTGATATTACTTTTGGGTCTATTTATCATTAATAAGAAATACCATGTGAATGTATCGGCATTAGTAACAATGTTGCAAATAATATAACTGTAAATGTTTTTAATATGTGCAAAATGCAATTTCCTGATATTTAAGTCGCCGGGTAAATGTAACGTTAGTTTTGTGAATCCTGTTTGTTCCAATGGTCTCAAATCGAATGCAATTAGAATGTGTTAAATATTATACGTCATTGTACGGGTGTCTCTGATGAATATAAGGCATCAGCAGAAGCAACTTATTCCAAGAACATTCAATCCTAAGAGAAAATATCCTGAGAACTTTCCCAGGTTTTTGCCAGTCACATACTGTATGTTATATATGTGCCAAATATCCCTGGAAGGAATAAGCAAATTCTGGTTAATTCGCACAGAATGAATGACTTTTCTGGAGGAATAACAATGCAAATGATTTAATAATAGACCCCTTTGTGATAAAGTATTTCTATTTCAGTTTTGTGTTTATAATATGAAATTCGGTTTAAAACACTGGCAGCACTTTATTGATTTTTTAGAGGATGAAGAAAACTCATCTCATCCGTCAGCAACTAGAAAACATTCTCTAGACAAACCGGACTCGTCTACACAGGAAACTGCCGGCAACAATTCTGGATCTCCTGAGGAACCCCTTGTACCAACACCACAAAATGTACAGTCACCTGACCAACCATGTACATCATCATCTGTTACACAGACACCAACAAAAAGTGAAACGGAGGGAGACACTGGACCTGTAACCCCACCAAGAATTCCTCACAAAGATCATTCTAAAACACAAGAGAATAGTAAGTAACTTGGATAAGAGGCGGGACATATTGAAGTCCATTCACAGCTTATGTGGGCGCAAAGTATTTTCTCACAGAAAGTTAAAAATCCTCTTTAAAGTAGAAAACAAACATTTTTGAATTCTTTTTAGCTTTGGATAACATGTGGAAGGCCCAGAACCTTGGGCAAGTTTATTTTGCTTGTACTACGTTGGAATATTCACTGTTGGCTGCTATGGGGCCTGAGGGAGGAAGGGGCCCTGTTTGTGTTGCTGTTGAGAAATGTTATACATAGTAAATCAGTGTGCATGGGAAGAGAACACACATCCATCACTGTATTGGTGACATTTCCAGTCAAGAAGAGCTGACATCAGATGCACAGGAGGAGTCTTCAGGATCAATGTCTCTAGTCACATATTTTATATATAAAATGTATTTATTGTTTATGTTGTATACTGGTTGCCTATATAGATTTAGAGCACAGCAATAGTATTGTATACATTTAATTGACACATTTACATATATCTTTTCATTTAGATACTTTGGGGTCTGCTTATAACCAATTCACAGAGCCATTCGACCTATGAATCTTCCTGAACGTTTGTTATGTGCCAATAGATGCAAAAACCAACGTTCCTAGATATACAGTATTTTCTTTTCAGGTCAAATGTATTCAATGTAATAGCACTTAGTGTGTAAGTGCCCCCTTACATATCAATGTAATCACTCATTTTCTATGCTTCTCGGCTCCGTCTAGAGGTCAAAATGCAGTTACATTTGACCTGAAATGAAAATATATTGAAGAACATTTGTTTTTGCATTTGCTTGCACAGAACAAATGTTCAGGAAGATTAATAGGGTTAATGGCTCTGTGAATTGGTTCTAAATAGACCCCTTTATGGTAAGATTAATGACAGTTGGGAGCTCACCAGGCGGCCCACTATGGGGCCCCATGATCTATAGTTACACCTCTGACTTGTATAGAGTACTATTTGCCTTGTACTATACACTGAAACAATGTCTGAATTTCTACAGGACAACTGCCTGATCCGGAGATTGGAGAGATAATAGTACCAGGACTGATAGCAGGAAAAAAAGCCACACTGTCATGCAAACTTTATAATTATATTCTTGGTGAACACGAATGTTCATGGTATGTGAAACTGAAATCTACTGGGGAAGTAATTTCTGCAAATTCTGATACTAAGAAGCTCCAAACCATAGGAAAAGATGAGATGCCTGATGACCAAAACACCTCCATAGCGTACCTGGCTTTCGTACCTGTAGAGATATCAGATGACGGGTCAGAATTCATCTTGAGAGTAGACCTTCCAGACTCAGATGGTGTGATAGAGAGAAGTACAGGACCCGTACATGTGAAAGGTGAGCAGTTCCTCCATATTATAACATATAAGAATCACGTAGTGTGGTTGTAAAAAAATCAATATAGCATTATAGCAGACAATCAGCTGCAGGAGCCCTGGTCTATGTCTGGTATATATACCCTGTTTCCCCGAAAATAAGACCTACCCCAAAAATAAGACCTAGTTGTGACCATTGCAAGGGCCAGTGGTGGCATAAGGGGGAACTTGAAGAGCCGCAGGAGAGACGGGAGAGAATCAGTGGTGCCAACGAAGCCAGCACTAGAGTAAGCGAGTCGGCACCGGAGGGAGACGAGCCGCATAAGCCGATGCCTCCTCTATAGCGCCGGCTCCTGTCACAGGCGAAGTGATACCAAATGCTCTCCGCCTGTGAGGAATCTATAGTGAAAGTGCGCTTCGCTCATTCTGGCCAGCGATTGGTTAGCAAATTGCTCTTGGAAAGGTTGCCCTGATCACCATATTTTTGTACATGAATGTGTGGATTGTTGTACATTAAAAAAGAAAATAAGACCTACCCCGAAAATAAGACCTAGGGGTCTATTCACGAAGCTGCCGAGGGCAGCCGAGTGAATGACCGATCTGAAGTGAAGTGAGCCGAACACTGTTCGGCTATTCACTTCAGGCTGGTACGGCTAATTTCAGCCGTACATTG